CAAAACATTTTATTATATGTTATATTACATTAAGATTCTTATAATTATTATACATTATTACTCATATTACAGACAAAATTTAATTTTTATCTATTGTTATATTATTACTATTATATAAATGTTTTACTTAAACTACTATTTACTTATTATAACATGTTGTAGAAAAGTGAATTTTTAAGTGCACGAAATATTATTTTTAATGCAAATACACTTTTTATTTTGACACGGACTTACAAACACATTTTAAAAATCATTGGCCAATTCTTGTGGATTTAATTTTTATCAACTCATTATACTGTTCATCAGATAAAAAATTAGTATTAATGTCCAAATTTTTAAAAAAAAAATTATAGTTTGTTATAAAAATTTGACTTCATATAAATCGTATGCATAGTTGCAACACCAAAACGACGAGAAAAATTACGATGTTGTAATAAAATTATTAGTACGTTCAATATTGTATCTTATTATTATTATTATAGTACCTAATAAAATAATGTTAATCTTTATTGCGTTAAATCGCGAACGCACATTTATGATAATCGATAAGTAAAGTCGTTGGTTAGGTTAGGCGATGCCCAATTTTGTTTGTTTTCTTCGTATTGCCTACTCCACGATTGCCATTCTATATAATACCTAGGCAAAGCTCGTATTATGTATATTGTCGAGTGATTTTTGGCATTTTATATAATGTCTAGGCATTTTGCAAAACACCGGATAATCCATATTGGCGGTAACAGAATAAATATATGTATTAAAAAATTAAGATGTTACGTGAGAAAAACAAAATTATTAGTTTTTTTTTTTTAAATTCTGCCTTAGAAATTCGTCACGAACAATTTTTACACGGGCCTCCGAGAATCTAGTTCCGCCACTGATCCAGGCTTTATATCAATTGCTCCGAAAATCGCAGGTAAAGGAAGAAAAATTATGGGATGGAAAAAAAGGTTTACATCTATTGCGCCGATCGATATTTGAGTTAATACATTTTGCGATTATCTCATTGATACATATATTGATGAAAATGCAACTTTTCCCCCGTATTTTTGGTCATCGTGTAACATATCAGGCGAAAGAACAACAAATGCCTGAGAGGCATTTTACTCAGCGTTTGGAAAATATTTTTATTCACCTCATCCAGATATTTTTGTTTTTTTTTTATGAAGTTTTAAAAATAATGTAACGCAACAATCATTATACGTGTTCTCTTAATAATTACAAATAGACCAAACTCTAAATTTAAAACAAAAAAAAAAAATAAATAGTAAAATAGATATTACTAATTTTAATATTAGACCTAAGAACTTTTCAAAATTTGTAGAATTAGTGTAAATACCAAGTATGTAAAATGATAAGTTTGATTTTAATTTTAGTTTTTGTTTTTAGCCATTATGATTTTTACTTGTACTGTATAGTTGTTATACCGGCGCAATTGCCGAATACCATATATCGACCTCAAATATCGTTTCGTGCTCTTTACGTTATAAATAATAAATACCAAACAATATTGTTGAAAAGCTATTACCAACCAATGAATTCAATATTGATTAATTAAAAAAAAAAAAAAATTCGAAACTAAAAGTAATATTCGATTGTAAAAAGTTTTTAAAATTGAGAGATCTAAATAGATTATGGTTGGTATTTTATTTTACGACTAGGTAAAAAGCGAATAAATTGTACATGTATAATTGTACGGCATTTATTCGTTGTACCAATATTCTGTTCTGTATACAATTAATTTTTTTATTTCTAATCATCACTTATTCAGTTTTAGTTTTGATAACGTCCCTTAAGGCGGATTTAGACGGGAAGATTTTCTCGTACGTGGAATTCGAGAAACTTGCATGCGATTGTCGAATACGAGATTTTCTGTTCGAGAATCGTATCATGATTGTTCACACTATGATAAAAACTCGCGCGTTATGCAAGGCGATTTTTGAAAGCGATAAACTCGGACTTTTTTTGTTTACACGTTTCGAGATTATTCGGTACGATTCTTGCTTCTAAAAATATCGACTAGTGTAAACAGTTTTTCTTATCTATCGGACGTTTTATTTATCGACCGTTCGAGACTCGCACGAATCCGTTCAAACCGATTTTTGCATTCGAGTAGCGTACCTACGTATTTTTGTTATGTGTTGTTTTAATATAAAATGTATATTTTAATTTAAACTTGTGTAGTTATTTTGTTTTTATTATTACTTTGTATTGAGTTTTATTAAATTGTATTAAATTAAGTTTTTAACAAATAAAATAACTATGGCAAATTTAATCAAGTTTGGTTCGACTGAAGTGTTTAAATTTATAGAAATTTATCGCAGCCATGAATGCCTATGGGATACAAGCAACCAAAATTATAAAAACCGAGATATGAGAAATGCAGCGCTTTCTTCTTTCGCAGAAGAATTAGGTATTGATGGGTTTGGGCCTAAAGAAATAACAACAAAAAATTAAAAATATTAGAAGCCAATATTTACAAGAAAAAAAAAAGATACGGGCGTCTACAGGAACTGGATCCAGTACGGAGGATGTGTACCATCCAAAACTTCAGTGGTTTAATTTATTGGATAGCTTCCTCGTGGCTAGTGCTGAACCAAGGACTACTTGTTCAAACCTAGTAAGCTAGATAGCTAGGTACGAGAAACTCGTCTCGTCTAAATCTCCACCTTGCAATTTCCTCGAAAGGTTACTCGCATGATAGTTACGATAATCGTACATATTGTTGACACGTTACGATTTTCTCGACAGGCACAGTTTCTCGAATACTTCATACGAGTAACTCTTCCCGTCTAAATCCGCCTTTAGTCCATACCTCATGGAAGCATATGAAAAATATTATCCGTGTTGTATTGACGTGTACGTGAATATGATAATAACAAAAAAAAACCCTATTTACACAAACTTATAATTTTTTCCTATCGCATTCCTCTTTTCATGCATGTTGACATATAACATGCGTACCATATGAAAGGTTTTAAAATATGAACTAGAAATTAGACGAGGCAAAATGTAACATTAACAGTATAATGAGGATTTAAAGTGGCAAAAAAGAATAGGGGGACTTTAATCCGTATATAATTTTCATCGTTCCATATAGCCCCATACAATTATTAGGTAATTAATTATAAATAAGTATATAAAAATATATATTATGAAGTTTTATTAGTGAACAATTTCCTCCACAAACAATTCATGTGCTGTAAAAATGTATAAACTTGTAAATTATTTACTCATTGTTTTAATTAACAGATTGTGAACATCTTTAAATAAAATAATAAAAATTAAAAAAAATCTTATATTTAATTATATAATACTACTTAATTTATAATTCATATGTAATATTAGTTTTGTTTGTAGAACACTTTTCAACATCTAGTGACATCAACTAAATTGCAAAGTCAATTTTTCAACTGTTTTATTTTGTATGATTTTTTTAACAAACAGTTGAGCGTTTCAGAACACTTTTCGAAGAAATGTTAAAAGGCACGCTTTATTAACGTTATGAGAGATATAGGGACTAAGTCCTCTCCACTTTAAGCTCTGGGTATAATCGACTGTTTTTAAAGTATGAGATTCGATCGGAGATCGGCGTTCAAGGGGTTATTGGTTGAACACTGAACGATTTCGTAAGACGAATGTCATGTACGTAACTATAAGTTTCTTATCCAAATCGGTTGGCTTTCGGTTTATACATTACGAAAACTTGTACACTATACGAAAACCATTAAACAGTTTTAATTGAACATCACATAATGTTAGTATTAAATTGCGTTAGTTGCGTTACAAAAGCTACGCAAGTGTACGACTGTGAGTATAATAAGAGATAAGAATCGGTTACCGAGCGTCAAAACACGGTTAACCGTTACGGAGGACACGCGATAAGGTGACACGGCGAGAAATGTACATCGGAGTCCGAACACGTCGGAATAGTACGTGTCCGTCGCGTTAACGGGTCGTCCGTACCGCGGGAGAGAAAGCTTACACCGAGTGGGGAAAAGAGAGAGATAGAGCAACAGAGCGACAGAGAGAGAGAGAGCGATAGAGTACCGGACCGCGGCAGGGGGTTACCGACTTCAGAACAACAATCACGTAATATACCGTGTACCGTAATTAGGGTTTTGAAATGCATGAAATTTATTTTCTTGAAATATTTCATTTCAATGAAAAATATAAAAAATAAAAATATTGTATCTAAAACTTTATAGTTTCATTAACTTGCAAGTGAACACTTTTATAAGCTGGTTCATTGTATGAAACATAAAAAATATGTAACTTATTGACATATAATTTAGAAGATATTTTACAAATTTATGATTATAATAGAGTACCTACTCTTCAGATTTCTAGTTCTATTAAGAAAATGTAATTTTTATTATTTCTAGTCGTATTTATAACGAATGCGGCAGTATAAAATAATAAATGACTCTTTGTTTTGTCTATTGAAATTATTGAAAATATCCGTATATTATTATTATCGGGTTTTAGATTTTGATATTTATTTTTAAATTTCTAACCCGAAGAATTTGATATAACAAGAAACAAGTAATAGCCCGTCCATACAAGAAATGAACGTAGAAAATATTTTCTGCGTATAATCAATATATTATTCCTGATCATCTACTCGTATAAACGAACACGTTTAAAGGAAGAAAAAATATTTTTCAACATTTCATTTTGGATATTTCGAGAAGAGTGAAATTTTCAATTTTGAAACATTTCAAATTCAGAACCCTAATCGTAATAGTTTGCGTATCGTGTGTACGGGCGGTCGACGTCGGGGACGATTGTTGGAGTCGTTCGGTCGTTCGCGCGGTGAGTGAGAGGGGGAGAGAGCGCTGGATCGTATCGCGTAGACAACGGTTCGGTTTTCGGAGACGGAACAGCTCGAACGGAACAGTTCGTACGAACGGACAGCCTGGCGACGAGGGGGGCGACGGGTCCCGCTACGGCGCGGCGGACGGACGAAGGAGGGCAGGACGGGGGCGGTCGGCTTCGTCATCAGTCGATTGTTCGCCGTACGCACACAAACACACACACACGCGCGCAAGCGTACGTACGCGGAACACGTACACACCCGTGTACGCGCACACTTATCTCCGCACTATTTACATTTCGCGCTGTCCTTATCAGGAATTCGCTGCTGCGCCGTTTCTGCTCGTCGTACCTACCTGCGCGCGTCGCAATTTGACGTTTTGCCCGCCGTGTCCGCGTTCCCGTCACCGAACGCACCATATCGCGCGGTCATTAAATTTTCCGTCAACACCCGTTTACTGCTGCACTCGCGCGTCACCCTTCCGTTGCGTTTCCGGTGCTGTGACCACCACGTTCGCGTTCTCGCCCGTTTCCTTGTCCGGTGTTCAGGCCATGTTCCGTAGCGACTGACGGCCGCGCCGCTGACGAGAAAACAAAACGATAAAGGAACAAGTTCGCCGTCGTCCGACCCGTGACTCATCGTAGCCCGTTGTTGGACGTCCGCTCGTAGCGCCGCCGCGCCCGGTGCCCGTGCCATCTGCGTGCCGTGCCCGTCCTCGAGTCGTGTCCCGTTTCCGTTCGCCCGCAACCGGCAGTAACTGCTGTCCGTCTTCATCACCGTCGTGTGTTCTTTCGCTCTTGCCGTGCTCAAAGGTGCTGACCGAAAATGACTTCTTCTTCGCAGTACTCGTACATATTCAAGTACATCATAGTCGGAGACATGGGTGTCGGTAAATCGTGTTTGCTGCATCAGTTCACCGAGCAAAAATGTAAGCATCTTTGTCTACGGTTACTGTTGCAACAAAGCCGATTAAACCGTGTGATTTTGGTTTTCAGTCACCGCCGATTGCCCCCACACAATTGGAGTGGAGTTCGGAACGAGAATCATTGAGGTGTCTGGTAAAAAGATAAAACTTCAGATTTGGGACACAGCAGGACAAGAACGCTTCCGAGCTGTAACAAGGTTGTTCATATGTTCATTTTCAAAAACTTGTGTATTCTGATTTAACACAATTTAAACATTGTTGTCTAGGTCTTACTATCGTGGAGCTGCTGGAGCGCTAATGGTTTACGATATTACCAGACGTTCTTCGTACAACCATTTGAGTAGTTGGTTGTCTGATACTCGCAATCTTACAAATCCAGGAACTGTAAGTTTTTACTTAACATTTTACTGGTGTTTTATTACTAATTATTTATGACAAATGTATGATAAGAAAACATAATTGTTCACGGATATTTCTTATTAGTATTCTAATTTGTAATAGGTATTTCTCTGATTCGTAACTATACTTAATTACAACATTTACTTGTCAAATTGCAGTAAGAATTGAAGGTACTACTTTTAAAACCATTTTTCCTTTTCCTGTAGTTATAGATATTTTATAAGTACTATTAATTTAAAAATTAATTTCCAAAGTATGCAACAAAATTGACTAGTAATAGTGTAATGTTACTTGATGTTACAAATGTTACAATGATGTTCAATACTACCCATGTTTTAGTATTTTATGTAATCAATTTAAAACAAGGATATTATGAAATTAGTCAAGACAAATAATAAGAAGGAAATCAAAAAAACCTATGATATTTATGTGTAATATTCATTAGTCTTCATTTTGAAAATTAAATTGTGAATTAAAAATTATTATTAATGGGCTGAAAACTTATCTAAACCAGAATATTTCTTTGAATTCATAATATTTTGTTTGGCAATTTTTATTATTATTATTTATTCTTGATACAATCTATTTAAACTTCAATTTGTTACATTTATCTCTGTATTTATATTTTTTTAAAAATATCATTCTTTTACCTATAAATTCAAATTATACTTAAATCATAAATCTATCATTTTAGGTTATCATAAATTTTGTTTATTATTATTTAATTTATTATAATATGTATATTATATTTATATTATTATTATATATTAATATTTGAATACATAGTTTGAATATATTAGGTAAATTAAAAAAGGTTATATTTTATAATGATTTTTTTTCATAAATATTTTTACACAATTTTTTAATTAATTTGATAAACCCAATTTTAACTAAAGCTAATTATGCATATTTTATGAATTTATGTATATTTAATTTACCAATTTTTATTAGTTTCAATATAACCAAATCGCACAATTAGTGCAAGAGGACTATATATCAAAAAAATTTAAATATGTTTTTGATATCTCTGAATTCGTATTTTTTTTCTATTCTTTTTTAGAGTGGCGTGATCTCTGTAACTATATTTTTAAATCGTCAGTTATACTAATAAACTTATTGCACTAAGACAGATCGAGAGGTAGCTGAAAACAATAAAACCGTAATATGAAATGTGGCCTTTTAATTATACTTGTTGATAACAATATTATAAGAACATTTCTGGTTTAGTTAGTCATATTGATAATTAGCAGAAGAAAATTACAAATTACTATAAATTATCAAACATTAGAAATGCTCTCCTGAACAATTTAATATTTTTGATATATGGCCTTCTTGCACCGATAGTGGGAAATAAACTTGAAAATGTAACACTATTGTTACCAATATTTTATGATTCCAAAGTAAATTCAATTACCTAATTTTACTGATTTTAAAATATCACTATATCTATAATGTTTTATGATTAAACTTGATTTTCTTTTAAATAAAATTTGTAGTTAAAATATTACAAATTGTTATAAATACATATTTATTAGAATTAGAAATTATAATATTTTAGATCTTTGAATGACAATAGCCTTAATCAATAAAATTAGATAAGCAGATTATATTTGAAATCTGTTTAGATCAATTTATTCCATTTAATATTTAATTTTTATACTAAAATATTTTTTTAAAGTATTTCATTGATTCCAACTAATTAATTAAGTTGTCTATACCTTAGAACATAATTGAATAGACACTCAATCAGCTGATAACTTTGCTTATATTTCTCTGGAGGCTTGACATAAATATAATTATCTACACATTTTACTGCTACTCTGCCAATCATAGACTTAAATATCTTATCTGTGGAAAATTACTGGAAAAAATGGTAATAATGGTTTCAAGGTCAACAATAATATTTTTCGGTGAACTAAGAAATTTAAATAGTTGTTACATCAATTATATTTTATGGTAATACTGTAGACAAGATTTTTAATTAAATGTGGTTAAAATTTTCAATTTTATAGTTTAAAGAGATCTTAAAATGTCAATGTATGATAATATATATCTATACATCCGTGGTGTATATAGAAAATATTTTCGGGAGGGGCTACTATGGACAGAGTTAAATTACCACTGCTATCTAAACATTACTAACAATACACAGTAGGTACTTATCTACATTTCATTTACAGAATGTTCCTAAACGATTTAATGTTGGACGCAAATTCTAAATAAGCATAAAGCACCATTAAAATATAACATACGTTTAAAATAATTTTTAAGTTTTTTAAAAAATTGGGGAGGGGGCTGTAGCCCACTAGGCATCCCCCGTATATACGCCACTGATTTACATATGTTAATAATTTTATAGTGTAGTAGTCAATTATTTTTTCCAATTTGTTAGTCAGCCCGTGTTTAAAACCATTTTTCATATTACTAGTACTTGGATCATCCAAAAACAACATACAAATATAGTATATATCTATATATTTAACAATTGCAATTATGTTATGTTTTGTACATATTTTCTTACTATTTGAGTGTAGAAATCAAGGGCGAATATAGATCTTCAATAAAACCATTATTTCTTTTAACACTTAAATATTTTATTTATGCATAATATTTTGTCTATGCTTTTTTTATATCAAATTTACATTGTTTATAATACTACTATTACACTAATAGGTTCAGTATTTTAGTTGTATATTTTGTTGTGTAAATATAAATTTAATTTAGGTTATGATTTTACTTTAGTAGTTTTTAATTGATTCCTGATTTAATACAAAGTATACTATTTAGAATCTTTCTTTTTTCATTTAAATTAATATATAGAGTTAATTAATTAAATAAAAAGTGATTGAATTTTGTATGATTGCTGGTAAAATGTATTTAAAATTAATAAGATAGATTAATATAAATATATCTAAAAAAAATACCCATGTCACTTTATTGTACTATACAAATAGACTTTGTTTATTAAAATGAAGTAACATATCATTGACATGTCTAAATTAATATTAATTAACTATAATAAATTAACACAATATATACTTTATATATTGATGTTATGTATATATGGGTATTTATTTAATTTAATTTATTTCTAAAATGAGTTATGTAAAATAATATCATGTATATTATATTGTGTTTTATTATACAGGTGATTTATTTAATTGGAAATAAGTTAGATATGGAAAGTAATAGAGATGTGTCTTATGAAGAAGCCAAACAGTTTGCTGATGAAAATGGATTAATGTTTTTGGAAGCAAGTGCTAAAACGTAATAATTTTAATTAATACTTTATAGAATATCATGATTATAAATTGTTATTATTACTACTAATACTAAATTAATTCATTTCAGTGGAGAATATGTCGAAGATGCTTTTCTCAAGACTGCTCAGATAATTTATGAGTGCATCCAAGATGGAAGGTATGTAATACACTATATGATATTCTTAGTAACTCTTAATTAATATAAGTTAAGAGTTATAAATATTTTCTAAACTATTGATTTATTTAAAATATATGTATTTACTTGCAACACATAATATTATTCGATTTATTAATTAAAACACGGTGTATATCAGTTTTTTGAATAATTTTGTTAACACAGACAGTCAGATTTAGACCTTACTTTTTGAAGTCAATAACTAATTACTTACCAACCAAATCTTCGTTTCATTTGTCAATAATAATCAAATAATTATTTCTTGAGGTGGCTGAATTTTTACTAGTTAATAACATTATTATATGAATATATTTTAGCTATTTTACTTTATTTATTTTAATATTTGATTATTTAATATATTAATTATATAGAGGTTGATTATTATATAAATAATAATATAAAAAGTTAACCATGGGTATAAATATATTAAAAAATAAACATAATTTTTGTTAATATTAATCAAAGGTCTATCGTAAAATATTTATATATATAAAAAAACTAAATAATTAAAATATAAATATAATAAATAAAGAATCAAAATATATTACCTATATATATACACGTTTTCGCAGAATAAATTATACATAAATTACACAATTCATTACAAGTACTAATACTGATTTTAATAATTATATTTTTGGATAACTAACAATAATGAAACCAACTATAGTGTAATTGCTAAGAAAATTACTTTGACGTAATACAAGTAGTCAAATGTTATTAATGTAATTATTATAATATAATAATTTTTAATACTTTGAAATAGTATAAGATAAATAATTATACTTAGCATTATTTAATGATATTTGATAATATCTTTATATTTTTATTGGAATTTATTAATTGCCTAGACATTTTAATTAATTGTAAATAAATATACTTGTATAAGATTAAAATTAGTTTTCTTTGATTATTTAAGTTAATTTTTCTAAAATGTTTTATTTATATTTATGGGAATTTCAGTTAAAGAATATTAGTTATGATTATTAAAAATGTATTAATATAAATGAATTTATAATAAATTATAATATTGTTTAATAACATTGAAATAACTATATTTAATAAAATTATAAACATGGTTCATTAATTTAGAATGTAAAATATTAAATGAAATCGTAAAATTGTTATAAAATAATTATGTTATGTTCTTGTTATTACAATTAAAACAGGAGTACTTGATTGCTCATATTTTAACTTCTATTTATAGATTTATACATAAATTCAATTTGCCTAGTAAAAGCCAAAATGTAGTTTATTTATTTTTAACTTTGAAAGTCTGAAAAAAAATTTATCATCTTGAAAAAATTGATTTACTTTCTTGATTTGATGAATTTTATTATTAAAAAATTTCAATTTTCAATATAATAATGAATAAAAGTAGGTATTAGTAAAAGATACTGTTTAGTTTGGATGATAAGTTTTAGTATATAACTTAATATGTTATTATAATCTTAAAAATATTTATATATTTTTTATTTGATTACAGATTAGACTTAAATGCTGCCGATTCTGGAGTTCAACAGAAAATCTTGCAGTGTGAAACTAATCCCAATGTAGAAAAAGATAAATCTTGTATGCAATGCTAAGGTAAATTATTAAATTATATTATATTGTACTTAAATGATAGTTTATTTTATTTCATTTTTTCAGAGATCTACTGTAGGATGGAATCTTAATCTTATTATATATTATTTTAATAAATAATATGTGCTATTTTTCTGTCATATATTATAATAATTTTCATAACATTCTTTATTAGTAGTTATATATTTTATTGGTTTTATTTATATTGAATTGTACACAAATACATATTCACCTACTTGATATATATATATAATTAATTTGTATAATTATTATTAATTTTCTCAATTAAAGATAAATATTTGTTAAGAAATTGTTAATCGAATTGTATGAATTTCATCTATATTGAATGTAACATATTATAAATATATACTTATGTGTAGTATATTAGTATTGTGTTTGCTGTTACACAAATGTTATTTACCAAAATCAAATTATTAAAAAAAAAAAAAAAATTATATTATACTAAAATTAAGTTAATTTATATTTATATTTTTGACAATTTTTTATTTTATATCTGTATTTAATCTTCGTTGATCATTGGAAATTATTTCAATATAAAAGTCTAAAATAAAAATGAAAATTCATTCAATCAGAAATTTGATTTTTTGGTGAATAAACTTAACAACATTTCAAAATTAATGTTTTGACAAAAATATGCAAGATCAGATATACTTATAATCAGATATAATTGTAATTTTCGATTTAATGTCAAAAATTATAAACATTTTTTAAAAACATATATTATTTTTATTTTTTTTATTAGTGAAAGCTAAACTTAAATATATCTATCTAAAACTATATTTTAAAAATCATAAGTATTACATTTCTGTATTTAAAAATTTATTTTACTACTGAACCAAAATAGAATTTTATAATCAAAAATTTAAGTTTATGTTTTTTATTATTTTAATTAAAAAATGTTAATAAATTACTTTACCAACTTTGTGTGCAGCATCAACAAGTACATATTACTGTGTTATTATAAATTTATTTAATTTTTTTATGCAGATTAATATTATTAAAAGAAATTTATATATTTTCTATAGTTTCATAAAATATATTCACACTTTTTTTATATACATTAGTGCATTATAAATTGTTAACATATATTAGTACTTTGAATAATTTTAATTAATAAAGTACAAACCTTTAAATACTCAACATTTTCCCAGTGTCTTTTTTATCAACACAACTATTTTTATTAAAAATATGCTATGATGTGCGTAGACCGTTTGAGTGAATTTACTCAAAATATGGTCTGATACCAACTGGAAAAATTATTATTTCACTAACTTACCATTTAGACATATACGTATAAGTACATATTTAAAATATTGTTTTGTTGGACATATCTTACATCAAGTATCACAATTTTGCCCACCAACTTACCTTAAGTAATAAATGGTTTGTTTGGTATTAAATATTGGTAACGATATTGTCAATATCAAAGTGTATGATAACCGTCACTAGGTTTTTATTTTATGCAGGTAAAAATATTTTCATTCGCCCAATGGTATAAATACTATTTGCCCAAACGAACTACTTATTTTTCTGTATAAATTATTTTCTTCCAAACGACCATTAGTCGCTGTGATACGATTGTATTTGATTTTTCTAATATGTATAAGGGAAAACATTTTGTAAATCAATCTAAAAAATAAAAATTACTAGATACCAATATAATTTAAATGGTACATAAGGTAGTGGCTATTGTTTAACAATGTTACATTCATTGATATAATTATTTTAAATTATACGTTGTACTTGTATTAAATATCAATATCATCAATTAAATGTTATACAAGCATTTAAAAAACTTCATTTTTGTATTATAAATATCATATGTTGTTTGCAATTTCGTATAGTAATTATTAGAGGTCGGAAGTTGTTGCATTTGCATGTTTATTTTTTGCACCATTGGATTTATTGCTAAGTGAGCTAGAAATCCGTTCCAAGACACTACGAAAACTATGTCAAAAGTTTATACAGCATATTTTTGCATATTTAGTGATTTTTAGATTTTATAGCATATTTTTGAATTTTACAATTTCTTAGAGCATATTTTATGATTTTTGAAGATTCAGTATGGAAATTCGAAAAATAAAAAAATAAATACATTTATATTGAGAGAACTTTCTTAATATTCTTATATTGTATTTTTCAAATTTCCATTTGACATTAAAAACAATGTTTTTCCCCTATTGATTAGTATAATATATATATATATATATATATATATATATATATATATATATATATATTTATAAATTATAACTACAGCTAGTTTCATCTAAAATAAAATATTATAAAAATACCAAATAGGAGGAGCTGCTATCGAATACAATGATTTTCTATAAATATTTTTCTAGGAAAATAACTCAATGTTTATTGAATATTCATTTTTTTTATTCAAGAAACATTTTCAATGCTATTTTATTATTATTGTTATTTTTTTTTTAATTATGATTAAAATTTAAAAATCAGAATTATTTTTATTACTTTGCTTTTTCTATATTTATAATTTTATAAAATATTTGTGCAAATGAAAATTTTGTGTACAAAAATAAAATATAAGTGCATATTTTTAGAGCATATTTGTACTTTTTTAAGCGCATAAATGCATGCATGTTTAGTATTTTTTAAGCACATAAATGCATGCATATTTAGTATTTTTTAAGTGCATTAAGTTCCGAGCCTTAGTAATTATATTAAATATTTGATTTTGGAAAATTATAATTAAGAGGTATCTTTAATACTTTAAGCTACATTAGGCAAACAATTCTTCTCTCTGAAATAAATATATGTCATTATTAAATGTAAATAATATTTAATAGTCCTACTAAAGAAAAATGTATCTATAATAGTACATAATATTTATATAAAAATTGTAATTCAATATTACAATAAATGTTAGTATTCTACATCGTTTTCCATCCCATTTTTTCCTTAAATAACAATAGATATGATAGTTTTTAATTTGATATTAACATTGATTTTGTTTCTAAACTATCATTAGGTGCATTAACATACATTTGCTTAGAATCTGCTAGAATAATCTAAAAGTCAATCATAACATTTTAGTCAATATGCAATAGAATTAATTTTTTCTGAATTAGTTTTTCAATTAAAATGTTCAATATACATAACATAAAAATAATTTAAATAATTTTTATTTAAGATTTTTTTAAATAATATAAAAGCAACATTATTTCTGCCTAATTATTTTATAATACATTTTACATTTAATGTGATGGTTTTTTTTTTAAATTTAAATGAAATACATTAAAAATTGTATTCAATATTAAAATACTTCATTGAATTCTGTTTAAAATTAAATTATGTAAATAGTATTCAATACTATGAAAATTATTTAAATACTGATACTCAATAGTTTTATTCTGCTTATTTGTGACACGGACTAGTTGAAAGAGGAATATTAATTAGATTTTATTTTATTTATTATAAATATAAACAAAACATTATTTTTATTGGTCATTTTCTGATCACATTTGATTACATCAATGATACACATTTACATATGCATTGAAAAAATATTTGGCAAAGGCACCTCATACTTGACATGAATTTATTTATTGCATTACAAATTTAGATTAATCAAATATTATATTCACTGAGCACATTTTAAATTGCTAAGTACCTTTTAAGCAGGTCCGGCTCAAGGGACATAGGCCCACGCTTAGGGCAGCATTTTTCCTGAACAATTTTTATGTATAAAAAAAAATTATTCGATAAAATATTTATAAGTGAGGGGTGGCAAAAACTAAATTTCGCCTATGTTAGTTTAAACACTTGAGCCGGGTCTGCTATTAAGTTATATAGTACCGATAACATGTGAATATAATTTAAGTCAAAAAAATTAATTATTCTACAACATACTATTAAATATTAGGTAGATAAGTCGATTGATACGTGTAAATATGAAAGCACCATAGCCCACGATGAATTAGTGTAATTTTATAAAATAGCTCCGCCACACACATTTTTTTTTTTTTTTTTTTGAACCTTAACTCCGCAAAAGATATATTTAAAATTATAATAATTAGCAAGAAAAAATTGCATATCATATAATTATAATTAATATAAATATTTTACATATTCATGTCTGTCTATTTTATTTTTATTATTCAATTCTACTTTTTTTTTATATATAAATTCAAAATAATTTTTTTGTTCACATCTATTGATTCTATATTAATTTTTATTAACAGTCGAAATATGTGATTTACTCGCACAGTGAGGTTCTAAATTCACTTTCGAAGCATAATCCCATCCGCAGCAGTATCAAAATTTATACAAAATCTAGATTAGGTTTAGACTATAATTTCTATTATGAAGAAGCTCAGAAAACCACGAAAAGTGCCACGCAATGGTATTAGAGTTTGGGAATGGAAGCGGTAGACATTGCGATCAAAGTTCAAAAACTAAAGTTCAGTGTAGAGGTTAATTGATAAATATGGAATTCCAGTGGGTATCAGATATTTCAAACAATTTTAAGTCATGAGGACTTTTAGTATTATAAATGTTTTTAAAATGCGTTCATTTTTTCGAATGTACGGAAATACGGTGCATGTGGAGCTACGGATTCACAAAATATTTTTATTCTTGCAAAAATACAGTGCCGTCCGTAAATATATGACAAGAATTAGGTTATTCTTAAATAAAAAAAAAATGAAAAAACACTTGAACTATTATATTAACCTTCGGTTAAATCACATGCATTTTAAAAATTAATTAATTAAATCGAACATTTTTATGACGAAATATGTAGGTAAATAATTTAAAGAAAATAATATTCTGGTAGATCTGTAAAATTAAACCTATGGTATGAAATTTAGTGATAATTCATTAATTATAGTTTAAATTAATTTGTGCTTTTCATTCAGCTAGTGAATTTATAATAACACAATATTTATTTATTTATGTATAATTCAACTGGGATTTAACTAGCCCTTTTACAATATTGAATGTAGTATGAGACCAGTTATGTATAGAATAAAACAAATTTACAAAATAATTTAGAATAATAAATAATATTAAAAATATATAAGTATTTAAAAAATACAAAAAAATAAATTTATAAAAATATTAAAAAAGACTTAGATTAACGAGAACAAATTAAAATTAAAATTAAAATGTTTTTTTTTTTTTTAATTAAGTCTAAAAGTATTACGGGTTGTGTTGAAAATATCTAAGGCAGTAGAGCTTAAATTAGTTTGTTTC